GCCTCATGAGCTCTTTCTAGCAGCCTCAGGGCAGTTGAATGATACAGCCATCCATGGCACTATAGGCAGAGGCGAGTCCTGTTATTTCCTGCATTGAAGACTTGGCATTAACTCTATTATTATCTTAAATACATTAACCCCAATGCACACTGTGTGAACATGGGAAGGTGGAGTCCTCAAAAGCTCCCTGGCCCATTTCATGGGGCTGTAAAGGGGCTGCACTCCTCATCCCTGAACTCTAGCAAGGACAGATGCCAGCATTTATATCTGCCATAGAGGAGGGTTTGTTCTTCCTTTCAAAAGGCTGGTTTAAACCTCTAAACTCTGAGCAGCGACCTTGGGAGCTTGACCTCAGGCTCATCTCCTGTGGCTTGGAAAGAGGAGCTGTGTTTGAAACTTGCAGGCTCAGAAACCTTGACCTCTATGAGGCTCAGATTTGTGCTGTGTTCAGTGCTTTGCAGCCAGCCCTGAAGAGAGGAAGCAAAATTGCCACCAACCTAAGGGAAATCAAAGCAAAGCACCACACACAGGCACACACATGCCCCAAAAGAAAGGAAAACAAGGCTGAGGTTGGAGAACCCGGCTGTGGTTTAGGAATGGGCCCATCCTGCCTGTTCTTAGCTGTTGCTTGAGCTACATGATGGATTTTAACTGTGCTTCCTTCTGGGCAGGTGCGGGATCATCCCAGAGCCCCGCAGAGGGAGCTCAAGCCTGGGGAGAAGCACGGCTGGAGTGGCTGAGCAAAGGGAAGAGGTCCTGCTCCTCCTCAGCATTGGACACCAGCTGCTTTGGCCTTGAACTTTGCTCAGGGTCCCCTGGAAGATACCGCTTGGCTCCAGCTTCCCGGTTCCATTCCCTCCTCCACCATAAATCTTACATCTGTTTGGGGTTTTGCTTCTCTGTCTGACAAGGCAAATGTGTTGCGGGGTGAGCAATAGCACGGTGACAGGACAACCCAGTAGCTGTTCTGGGCATGGATCTCAGTCCTAATCCATGAGGTCTTCCAGGGAGCTCCAGCCTGGCTCCTGTCCCTCACTTGACTGAGGACAACAGCGTGCAAACGTGTCTGTGCTGTGGTGCTGATAGGTAGCTCCTCTCGATGGTTTATTCCTCCTCCTTGGTGAACAGGGGTTGTCATCCTCAGGGTTTATGGTGGCAGCATGGTTGGTTACTGCCTCCAGAGGAGATATGAGCTCTGCAGCTCCCCTTGGTGCTCAGGGATATGGGGATGTACACCCCAGCCTCCAGCAAGGGCAGCCCCATCACCAGTGGCTGGATGGTGCCTGTGCTTCAGTCTGTTCTTGCTTTGGGAGTGATGTATCAGAGCTGGGGAGGGATGGGGATCTGTTTGCTGTTTGGAGATAACGTTTGACCTTATTTATAGCTCCTCACTGGCTTGGTTTTTAAGGATTTTCTCCAACTTCTACAAAATAAAGTTGTGTTTCTTTACCAAGCTGTTGTTCAAGCACATTGTGATGGGTCTCAGCACCTTGGGCAACTTGGATGAGAAGCTGTTGCAAGATCTTCCTTCAGGTTTCTTTTATGTCTACCTTAAGGACTAAGGAAGGCAAATACCTTCCACCTGTTTGTAGATCTGTTTCTCTTCCTGTCTTTTGTATGTATATGTCTTCTTAGTCCAGGTTATCTTCCGAAAGCAAGGAAAGCTGTGCATGCATGCCCTTGTTCACTCCCCAGGCACAAGCTGGTTAGGAGGTGGTGAGTTCAGCCCTCACCAATACATGCTATCGGTAGTATTATACTACTTATAAGTACTGTTGATACTGATCCATTGCAAATCCTGCTCTCCTTTTCTTCCCTTCTGCCCACAAATTGAGTCTGAATTGGGCCATGTGGTTCCTGGAGTGCTAGGAGTGAACCAAGAGGGCTCTTCCCAAGAACCGGTTCTGTGCCGGATGATTCCTGGGGCTCTAGGAGTGAGCAAGGCTCTGCAGTATGGGAGGATTTGGGCAGTGTTGGTTTTACTTTAAAACCTCGAAGCTGTGTTTAACGAACCATGTGTTTGTAAGGAAAGATGAGATCTTGTCGGTAAAGAGGAGAACATCTTAGGAAGGTGATGTCTGGTTGTGCCACTAGAATAATCTCTTCCCATCATGAAGAGCAGTTACAGAGATCACACAGAGTACTCTAATGCTGCCAAACCTAATGTTTGTATGTAGGGTTGCATAATACAAGTGACTCCTGCTACTCCAAGGCAGTGACAGTGCCTGTTGTGCTCCACTGAATTCCAAGTATCCTGTATGCATAAGCCCGTAGGGAACCACAGAAATCAGTGCAGAGTGGCACAGCCAGTATTCCTGTCCTGCATAGGAAAATGAAGCCAGCAAGGTCTGAGAGAGCAGGGCGGGTGTTTTGACAGTCAGGTGCTCCTGTTGAAGAAGGTGCACATGGAGATCTAATATCCAAGCATCCCAACGTCTTGTGGGTCACACAACGCTGCCTAAAGAGAAAGGCCCACAGTTCCCAAACCAACTGGTGAGCTTGTGGCAGGGTAAGTGTACAGATGTCTGATCCTTTGGGGTTTATTCTGGGGATGTGGCTGAGGGGGTCAAAGAGGGCAGCAATGGAGAAGGAAGGAGGTTGGCAGGACACTACCTAGCGCTGTCCTTGTGCAGTGAAAATAGGGTCTCATTTACTACTTGGTCCCAGAGCCTCATGTCTGCTACTGTTTACATGCAGCGTGTGCTTATTTATCCAGCAATCCCCTTTCCTATTGCTGGGGGAACAGGCTGCCTTATCCATCTCTTGCTTGTTTAGCTTGGAAACCTTTTATGCAGCTGATAAAGCAGTATCTGTATCTGCCTTATTTGTAGGCAAATAACGTGTAACTTAAACTCTCGTTTCACCTTGAGGCCCCAGTTGTAGCTCAGCCCTGCATGTGGGTTTTGAATTAGCCTTGACTGAACATGCAGTTCCTTCCCAAAATGCAGGTGAAAGGGCTGCTAATGGCACCCTCTTGACCATGTACTGTGGCATGTGTCCTAATAAGTCTCCTTAGCAGAAGGATTGTAATCAGCACGCTGCAGTGTGTCCAGCTCCCCTCTAACCATCACTTTTCTATAGCTCACTGCTGATGTTCTCCAGCAGATTCAGTGTCCTGGAAACCAGGAATCCCCTCTTAACTGTTCTTGCCAAAGAGTCAGGGTTTCATAGGATCCAGCCTTGAGCCTGAGTCTAAACAGTTCCTTGCATACATGCATGAGAGCCCTTACCTTACCATGTGGTGAATAAGCGCAAAGCAGAGAAGATACAGACTGGGGTTAGAGTCTTAAGGTAAATGCGCTCTGAGGTGAAGAGCAGATGTGAGGAGCTTAATATGTGCTGGAGCTGGAGCTGAAAATGTGCTTGGATAATACCTGTAGCATTGGCTCTTCTGTTACTGGCTCTGTTCTTTGCCCAGGTCCAGCAGGATCTCAGCTCTTGAAGGATGTCTATTCCTGCAATTGCTCTGACAGTGTAAGGAGCAGTTCATTCACCATCCTGCCTCCCTTCATCCATCTCTTCCAAGATCATCCAGTGCCCATTGCTACCTTATGGGTGGTGTTGCCAGGTTCTTCCTGTGATATGCATTTAAGCCATTCCACTGCCATAAGCAAATATTTACTCAGTGAAGGATTTCTGATGGCAAACACCCATGTCCTGTTCCATTTCTCCATGTGTCAAGATTATCCCTTCAAGGCCAAGGAAAGGGTTTAAAGACATGATAGAGAGTTCTCCTTCCTTGTTATTACAGAGTATTACAGTGGCTGATACTCAGTAATTACTGTGGTCGTTCTGCCAAGAACTCCCATAGGAATGATGCTGTCTTTAAAGTACTGGAATTCCATGTAAGGAATTTGTCCTGCTCCCAGTGTCCCCACCCTTTGCTTTCCATTTTCCCTTTTCTGGCTAAAGAGATGTGAAAGTGAGAGCTAAGCCTGCTACTGAGTGAGCTATGGCCTGTCCCATGTGGTTTGGGGTGCTTTGAGCACTGTTTGAAGGCAGCATGGGAAAAGCTGAGCTTGGAGCATCTTGGTTAGTGCCAGCTAGCTCCATCCTCCCAGTGGGAATGCGGAGGAAGATGAGCTATGGGGGAAATGCGTGTTCAGTTCTGTTTAGCTAAGGCACCGTGCGGTACTGGGAACGGAGGAGCAGGAGTAATTCCTGAAAGACTTGGGAGTGTTCTTGAGGTGTGATCCGCTGTCAAGATATCCCAGCAAATGCTGTCCTTGGGGATAACAAAGTGCAACAGAAGTCAAATACAATAAAACCCAGATGACAACAAACCTCAGGGCTCAGTTCCACTGCCCTGAAAGCACCAGGGCTCTGTTCCCCTTCCTATTTTTAGCACAGGATGCTTTCACCTGGAGGAAGGGAGGCTGCAGCCAGTCAAAGAATGCATGCAAGGCACATGAACAGCTGGCTGCTCAAGAGAGATGGGCCAACAATAGCGAGGTTTGGCTCCAGTCTCTCCAGCTGCTGGAGGTATCTGTGAACTTTGCATTTCTCTGACACACTCTGGAAACTTTGGTGGATCATTAACCAGGTCCTGTGCTGTTCAAAGTACTCTCACAGTGCAGGGGGTTAATACTAAGCCAGCAACACATGGCGTAGCTGGCATTAGAGGGAAAGGAGCTAATGTGCTTTGGTGGGAAAGCTGTGTTCTGTGCGCTGTCAAAAACAAACCTGGGGGGAAGAACCTGTTCTCTGTGCCTTGCAAAAGTGCCCTGAGCAAGCTGGTCTGTGCAAGGCAGGGCAATAAGGAGTATTCTGGCCCAAGGGCAGATGTGCAGTTGAAGGCTGCAGAAGGGTTAACACAGGCTGATGCTGTGGCCCATGGCAAACAATCTCTCTAGTGCCAGGGGCCCCGTAGAACGCCCCATTTTCCATGTCACAAGGATTGCTGCAGCAGCTCTGTTGCTCTGGACTTGTCTGTGTATATATAGCTGCAGGAAACAGCTCGTCCAGCCGCTGTTGCAATAGGTCTGCTGCTCCTGTGAGGCAGAGGAGCCTGTTCCGCTGCAGCCAGACAGGACATCTGTTTGGAGCCCGGCTGTGGCAGTGGAGCATCCGACCCGACAGCGACGGACTCGACCGAGGAGAAAGAAAGAGAAGCCACGAGGGAGTCACGCAGGGGAAGGGAATGGTCAGAAAAGAGCAACAGCTCGGTTCAGCTGCTAGAGCCTGCCTTTGATTGGGTGTTATCTGCGAGGCCAGAGGGGGATTGTCCGCGCAGGGCGTTCCTCTCCTCTCCCTGCTCCGTTTGGGCTATATAAGCCGGGGCTCGGTGGCCGTGGCTCAGACACCAAAATGAAGTTGAAAAGGGAGAAGCAGAGCTCCGCCAGCAATGAAGGCTCACAGGGGGTAAGTGTGCAGGGCTCTGGTCCTCGACCTGAGCCTCCCACAGCGGCGCTGGGCGAGCTCTGCAGGTAGGAGATGACCAAGAGCTGCGAGGCCGCCACGTGTGCGTGGAGCTCACAGGAGGGCACGGGGTGTTTGCTCTTGAGCCCAGTTTATCTGCGCTGAGCCTCGAGGTTTTCCGCCTGCCCCTGCCTTGCCATGTGCCTTCTGTGTGTCTTTCCCCCTCCGTGTGGACGGGTTCTGTCCTCCTTCCCCATCAGTTTTAGGCTGCGGATGCTTCCGGATGGGGGCTGCCTTTCGCAGCAGTGTTGTCGCGGACTCTTGCTCAATGCAATGTTCGTGTGTGCCAGAGGATTTCCTAAGGGTGCTGAATGTGAGCTGTTAATAGCAGCGGCTCTTTGGAGCTCCTGGGGTTGGCTGAACGAGGGCAAGGCAGCCTGCTTTTCATCACCAGGGCTACAGTGGCAGCAGTACGAGAAAAAGAAGCTGGAAGCCTCAGCTTCCTCCTGATCCTTACCCTGAGATCAACTGGGATTGATCTTCTGTAATGCCTTAAACTCTGCAGGTCTCTGGAGGTGAGCTGCTGAGGAATACAGGGAATAGAAGGGCTACCAGCAGCTCTTTGGACAATACATTCCATTAGGGAAATGACAGCTCCTGCGTGTGGGACCTGACTTGGGTGTTGCGACATAAATAAAGCTTTGCAGACGTTAAGGCTAATGGTGGTGACAGAAACCAATGCATCTGAATGAAAAATGACTTTATTGATGTAGCAGCAATGGGAGCTATTAGCGAGCTACTAAAAACCCCAGCCCAGCTCAGCCAACACAGGGTGGGTGGCCTGAGGACTAAATAGCAACCGAAGCATTGCGAAAAGCGAGTTGCTCGTAACCCTGAGGTCTGCACCCACAGACATGGCCAGTGCTTGCTCCTACTCCAGGTGGCAATTTCACCCTTCTGCTTCGCTGCAGAGCTGCTCTTATACCCCACAGCCAAGCCCTGGCTGAGCTACTTGGATAAGTTCTAATTGGCTTCAGTGGCAATCGGATTAGAGCCGTAAAGAGCTTGATCCTGAAATGTGGGAGGCAGAACAAATGAGCAGGAAAGGGATTTTGTCACTTCATCCAAAACCTCTTCTTCTTAAAGCTTCCCTGTACCAATCTCCTGTGTTATTTCACTATCCAATTGCACGTTGGGGAAAGGATAATTGCACACAACCTTTTTCCCTGCAGGGAGGGTATTCTAAGCACGGTAACTTGACAATTATTCATCATCCAAGTGTTCCATCAATACCAGGAAAGAGCAGAATCAATTACTGTAATGACTATGTGCAAATCAAGCAGAACAGAACGAGTTTTAATGAGAACAACCCACTGGGCTTTGTCTGTAGAATAAGATGAAGTGAAAAGCAAGTCTTAGGGTATTTGTTTTTACTGACTGCCATTTATGCCCCAATCCAAACCTGCTGCTGAGGTGGGGTTTGTGTTTTCTCTCCCCCCTGCAGAAAATGACACTTGTGCTTGCAGCGGTAACGCTGATATCTGCATTTGGATCTTCTTTCCAGTACGGGTACAACGTGTCTGTGATCAATTCTCCAGCCCCGGTAGGTTGGACTGTGGTGTGGACGATGACCTGGGAGGAGGTTTACGAGCAAAACAAGGCAGGAGGGTACCAGTGTGTTATGGGTGTTTGTGGGCAGGTGCTTGGACTTCTCCATGCTTTGGAGCTGGGAACTGGTTGCCCTGGAAAGGAAGGGGGTGTAAAGGTGTATGATGCTGCAGTCTGGACTTTGTGCCTAGGAGAGACTGGGCGTGAGAAATACCTTCCCTTTGGCATAGAAGGCAGATCCCATAAGGCAGGATAATTTGTAATAGCAGTTACTTCGTCCAGGCTTCTCCATCCCCCTCTTGCATTCATTTCCCATTGAAACCATTCTCAAGCTGTTTGTTTAAAGCTTTATGACATGACTAGCTTTTGGAGCATGGAAGCTTTACTCACTGTGCTAAATGTGCGTCTTTCATTCCAGTACATGCAAGACTTCTACAACCAAACCTACTACAACAGGACTGGAGTGCCTATGGAGCATAGCTTCCAGACGCTGCTCTGGTCTCTTACTGTGTCCATGTACCCCCTGGGTGGCTTTTTTGGGTCCCTCATGGTGTGGCCTCTGGTCAACAACTGCGGCCGGTACGTGACCGTGGTGTTTAAGGTCCTTGAGCAGCAGTTTCTGGGCTCAGATAAGGTTTGCCAAGCCCATCAGGAGCATGACAGTGTCCCACACGTTGGTTGTAAGGCAGATAGGCTGGTGATCAGCCGCTGGGCTCAGCAGCACGTGTTGTCTCCCATGTGTACAAGATCTTACATGGTTTCGATGTGGTTAAGGCCATATGTTGGGCACTGAGCCACATACAGAGCAAAGAGAAAAGTCTGAGATCAGGCCCAGCCTCTGCTGCTTGGGTTTCCTGAGAATCACAGAATCAGCTGGGGTGGGAAAGACCTTTAAGGTACCTCGAAGCCTCCATTCCCTGCAGGGAAAATGGGACAACAGCCGTTTTCCCTGTGAGTAGTCCTTGGGATGGTGATTCATTTGAGTTTTGGACACTGTGGCACAGAGGGGATGTCTCTGCTACTGAGGCCTTAGACAGAAAATCAACTGAATCTGTCTCCTTTTCTATTACTTCGCAGAAAGGGCACTTTGCTGATAAGTAACCTCTTATCTATTTCTGCTGCAATCCTAATGGGAACCTCAGAGCTAGCAAAAACCTATGAAGTGATCATCTTTTCACGTGTTATCATGGGAATATTTGCTGGTAAGTGGATGGGGATGGGAGAGCAATAAATACATTCTTGGCTATGTAAAGGTCTTTTACTGTCACAAAGGGTGGTTTCACAGGTAGCACGTTTTAGCCATATATCTGTATATCAGTGCTGCTCTTGAATCACAGTTGTCACCTGCGTGTTGCAGGAGTAGTAAAGATCTATAGCAGACAAGAGCAGAGACTGGAATGTGAGATGTACAGAGGAGATACGTGTCTGAGATGCAGCTATCCTCTGCACTGAGCATCTGCTAGGCACTGGAGCTCCAACAGCCAGGAAACCTGCTGCTGATGATGATAATCTTACAAGCCATTTTAAGGCCTTGCTTGCCTTTTCTGTGCACACCCCCCCCCCTTGTCTTTTTTTCTCTTTAACATAATTAGAAACAGAATAATCTTTCCAAGTCAGAGTCACTGGAGATGATGCCAGCCCCAGTGATCCAGTGCTGGGACACACTGTTCTTCCTGCAAGAGGAAAGAAGCATTAAAGGGGGGGGGTGTGTGTTACTGGTGTAAGTGGCTGTATTACAGCAACAGTAATAGGGAACGAATAAAACCAGAAGGGGTGGGCAGCACTGTACCAAGCAGAGCAAAACCAGGGTGATAAGGGGCCTGTAACAGCATTTAGGCTCAATTCATTGGCTTTGGGCTGGTTAGACTGACGTTCCCCATCGTTTGAAACTGAGTTGGGATATCCTGTAAAGATAAAAGAAGAAAAGAAACTGGGATAAGAAAACAACTTGACCTGTAACACACAGCAGTTGAAATTGGTGAGCTACGGCAGGAAATTCATCTCCTCCAGTGGTTTTGGTTTGGCTTTTGACTCTCCTAAGCCTGGCAGCTGCTCTTAGCATGGGATCGCTGCATAAATACTAAAGGACCTGTCAAGTGTGACCCCTCTTCCCAGTCATTTATAACTGACTTTAACCTGCCCGAGGGGAGACTGAGCTGAGCTCTTAGGTAGAAGCTCTTCCCTGTGAGGGTGCTGAGGCGCTGGCACAGGGTGCCCAGAGAAGCTGTGGCTGCCCCATCCCTGGCAGTGCTCAAGGCCAGGTTGGACACAGGGGCTTGGAGCTCTGGTAGGATCTAAGTGCAGCCCTGCCTGGTAAAGGGTGGTTGGCAGCACTGCTGTATGCAGGGCCTCTCTTGGCAGGGCTTGATCAGCGTTGGTCTGAGCAGTAAGAAAGCTGCTGTTGCTTGACTGCAGTAGTCCACGCTGCTAGCATGTTTTAATCTGGGCAACTGAAAGGCTGCTTATAATACAAATGTAAACCACTGCATCTCATGAGTTTACTTTTATAGTGTTTTCTAGTTCCTTAAATACTTGTTCCCCAGCCTGTTGCTTCCAGATGACGGCTTTCTAACTCCGTGTTCCTGAAAGCTAGGAAGCTGAGAAATGAAAGCTGAGAGTCTCATGTGGTCATTTGACTCCAGAACTTTGGGGTTTACATGCCAGGATTAACAGCGTAACCATGGAGCTGGCAGCTTGCTGGGGTTACAGTGGGTTACAACTCAGTGTTCCTCAAAATAACCCATGTGCTATTCGGGTTTCAATACCTCTTCCAGCATGGTGCTGGTAAGAGATCTCAGACCAACATAGCTCTCTGGGAAACGTTACCAAGCAATTGAAGGAGTACTGAATTGATAAAGGCCAGCAAGAGGTTGCATCCTTCCACCCTTACATCACTTTGGATATTGATTTCTCTGCTTGGTTCAGAGGGAGTATAAATCCCTCCCATGCACTCTGGGGGCGCGAGCACCTCTGAAGCAGCACACAGGATTCTTTCCACGTATCGTGTTGAAGGGCTTGGCAGACCCTGCTGGGAGCTATTTTTATGAGCACTGAGACAGCCCAGATCACAGCCTACTGCTGCCTTCTCAGGCTCCTCAAATGCTTTGCTGCTGAGCATTGAAGCTAGAGCCTCACAGCACCAAGTACTGCTTTGCTTTGAAGGTGGGCAGGTTGTACTCCCAAAGCCAGAGCTTCTGAGGGTACCAGATTCAGTGATGGGTTTGGTACCTCTCCATGTACTGAGTGAACCAATGCTGTGTGTGTTTTGTCCCATCTTCCACTGAAGAGTGAGGAGAACACACACAGCTTATGCACTGGCCAGAAGATGACCCTGAAGTCAGCTGGAGCAGAAGGGCTTGAGTGTGAGGTTTCCTGCTCTGGTCCAGCAGGGATTGCTTTGGTCTCATGTAGGAAAAAGGTATCTTAGTAAAGACAGTGCGTGTGCTGGTGCCAGGCACTGCATGTCTAACGTTGTTCTCTATTAGGTCTGGCTTCCAACGTGGTTCCCATGTTCCTTGGAGAATTGTCCCCCAGAAATCTGAGAGGTGCAATTGGGATCGTACCCCAGCTCTTCATCACCACTGGGATCCTTATAGCTCAGATCCTTGGTCTCAACATCATCCTTGGGAATGCCAAAGGTAAATTCCTGGCTTGGGACTTGTTCTTGTGGCCCCCACAGGGGGAAGATGTCTCATAGCTGTCACCCTGTCTCACTGTTGCAGGCTGGCCCGTGCTGCTGGCGCTCACTGGGATCCCATCACTAATTCAGCTCCTTATATTGCCCTTTTTCCCTGAGAGTCCCAGATATTTGCTGATACAAAAGGGCAACGAAGAGCAAGCACGACGAGGTACAGTATCATCCTTTAATGGAAGGGGGAAGATCTGTGGGCCATGACTGACAGCAACCAGCAGTGAAGCGAGTGTGAAAAACTCCATTGATGCTGTTGGTGAATGGAATTCCTGCAACACTGCTCCTTTCTCTGCATATGTGAATCCCTGACCTGCTGCCCATGGTGGGAACAGTGTTCTACCAATTTGAAGCAGGAGAGTTCACTGTAGACCTGCTCTCTGGGGCCCATAACTCACTTTCCTTTCCCAACCAGCTCTTCAGAAGCTGAGAGGCCGGGATGATGTGGATGATGAGATCCAAGAGATGCACCAAGAAGACCGGTCAGAAAAGGAAGAAGGACAGTTCACTGTGTTCAGCCTGTGCACCTTCAGAGGCTTGAGGTGGCAGCTTATCTCCATCATTGTCATGATGATGGGCCAACAGCTCTCGGGGGTCAATGCGGTGAGTGGGAAGGCACATGGGAAAAGCCAGTGGGATGAGTAGTAGAAGAATGGGGCTTTACAGTGGGTGATGTGGGGCAGTGCTGACCCAAACCCAGTACACACATGTACTAGATACAGTCCAGCTGTCCTGTTAAGGATAGTTTGGACATTTTAGTGTAAGGTGCTTGTGGCTGGATCCAAACAGCAGTGTCCAGAAATGAAAGAATCAGTTCTCAGGCTCCTGTGCACCAGTTCCAGGATGTAAAAGCAGCCAGACTGGGATTCCTATGTTCTGCCTTTGGTCCCATGTAAACACAGCTGTGGTTTTGCTGCAGGTCTTCTACTATGCAGACAGAATCTTCCTGTCGGCAGGAGTGGATGACAACAGTGTTCAGTATGTCACCGTGTCCATAGGTGCCATCAACGTCGTCATGACCTTGCTTGCTGTAAGTTTCTATTAGGGCTTTTCAAGTTCTGGCTTTCCCACTCTCCCCTACTTGTCACGGGTTAAGTTGGGTTATGTTATTTACACATACTGTGAGCTGCTTGGCACCACAGACACCCTGGAGTGGCCCTTGGTTGAAGGCAGCTATGTTACCCAAAGTGATTGACCATCAGCAGATGGTGGCAATGGCACTGAATTTCTTAAGAGACAAAGACTATCTCTGTAAGTTCTGCTGCAGTAAGTGCTGTGCCCCATGCCTGGTCTCTCACCCTCTTCTATCCCTTTCAGGTCTTCATTGTGGAATCCCTGGGAAGGAGAATCCTCCTCCTTGCTGGCTTTGGATTTTGCTGTGTCTCCTGTGCAGTGTTAACTATGGCTCTCAATCTCCAGGTGTGTAGTTGGATGGCTCAGGTGATGTTGCCCATGCATTTCTGGACTGTTCAAGGAACCATTGGTATGTGTTGAAGTTGTTTCTGAACCCTGGGAAAGAGGGAATGATAGGAACTAAATTAAAGCCAGGAAAAGTTGTGAACCTCCTTGTCTGAGCACTGTTTCCAGCACATCATGTTCATAATACCTGTTGCACTGATTTATTGGAAGCAAGGATCATACCCAGGCTATGGTTTTTGTGGTTAACAGTGTATATATCTGGCAATGGAGGGTGATACTGGCTTTAGAATGCCTTCAGATCTTAATATGAATAGTGCCTTGAATGTGTTGGTGATGCTCAGATAAGGATGACATGTAATCTGTGATTAATTTCTTCACAGGCCACTGTCTCATGGATGTCTTACCTCAGCATAGTGTGTGTCATCGTTTACATCATTGGACATGCTATTGGAGCCAGTAAGTATGCACAGTCTGGTCCTGTCTCCTCCACAAGCTGGGGAAAGCCAAGTGTTACATTCAGTTTCAAACCAAAAGCTCTATGGAGCTAATCCAAGGAGGTGGAGATAGAATTTCTTCTGTGTGGCCATTCAGTGTGTGGATTGTCAGCTAGGTTTATTTATGTTCCAGTGAGGAGCTGCTTGTGTCTGTGAGGCAGGGGAGCATCTGGCTCTCAAGAGGAAGAGCAAAAGCACAACAGTGCTTGTGTCTGATATTCCCCAAGTAAAACCTGGAGCAAAACTATGCCGAGCTAGTGAGCCCCACAGCTGGGCAGGGATGTGGCATGCTTGCATCTGTGGGCAACACATGGAATTAGAAGCAATGCGAATTATACCCATGGCCCCGCAGATGGCTTTGCAGAAAGATGTGCAGATAGATGTGGATATTGGGAAGGCTTTGTGCTGACTCAGCTCCTCAGCATGGTGTATTTGTCTGCTTAGCTGCAGCAGTGCAGCATCCAAACTCCTGTAGAGGTTTTATAGCAGATGGAGTTGCACACAACCTTTCCTTCTCCGTTTATGCCACCAGGCAGATTGAAGCATGGAGGGCAGGGATGTTGCTGGAGGGAGAGCAGCAGGTCATCTGGACCTGTTAATGAGAACACACTGTTTCTTGCTCAACGAGCAGGTCTTGCTTAGTTGCTGTTCATGGGGTGCTCTCTGGAGAGACAGTTTGTGTTCATCAGCCTTATTTTACAACTTATGCTGGAGATGGGCTCCTGGCTGAGGTGCAGCCATGGGAGAGAAGAGGTTGGTTGCTGTGTGTGAGCTCATTTAAATGCCCTGTATTTTCTTAATCTCATCCTTTATTTGATGTATTGGGTGTTTCTAAACACTAGTACTTTAACAGTTATTGCCTGCCACTGAAATGAACAGTGTCATCTGGGAATTCAAAGCAGGGGAGTTCCCTTTGGGATTTCCAAGTGTGCAACTCCCTTCCAGGTCCAATTCCCTTTGTGATGATCACCGAGATGTTCCTGCAGTCATCCCGGCCTGCAGCGTTCATGGTGGGTGGCTCTGTGCACTGGCTGTCCAACTTCACTGTGGGGCTTGTGTTCCTCTACATGGAGGTAAGATGCAACCACACAACAGGGCAAGACTACAGCTTAAAATCCGTATCTTCACCCCTGTGTTCTTACAGAGAGCCCTTTAATCCCGAGAGCCATAAATGCCCTAGTTGGTTCCCAGTACCTGCATGCAGGATTATATATTAAGGACAAGAAAGTGATGTTAGTCAGCATTTTCTTATCACATCTGTCAGTTGCACATGGTTTTAAAGAAAGCAGTTACTTTCCCATGTGAATGTCTGATCCAGAATTCAGAAGCATGCACAAGACTGCAAATACCCAAATACTGCTTTTGCTCTCAAGGTCACCAGTTCAATCTGAGCCCCAGCAGTATGTCCCATACACTGCTGTAGTTGGTGATTTTAGCTTGTGCAAAGGGTGAGTTTAGCTTGACTTCTGTAACAGACCTGCTTTTTCCAGTAAACCAATATTGGTTTCCAATGAATCCATGGTGGCGATATGAGAAGATAATCTAGAACCACTCCTAACTTCAAGCTAATGCAATTATTTAAGTCATTCAACATAAAATACGTGCACATCACTGTGGCTCCTTTCTTTCTAGCTATTGCAGAGCTCAGCACATCTAAATCATGTGAAGTACACAACTGGAATGTTGTCCTCATCCATGCTCTCTTCTTTCCTTGCCCTAGGCCGGACTGGGGCCCTACAGCTTCCTCATCTTCTGTGGCATCTGCCTCGCCACTATAGTTTACATCTTCTTCATTGTTCCTGAGACTAAGAACAAAACCTTCATGGAAATCAACAGGATCATGGCCAAGAGGAACAAGGTGGAGATTCAGGAAGACAAAGAAGAGCTTAAGGATTTCCAGGCTGTCCCAGGTGGGCAGGCAGAGAAGAAGGAAATCTTCAGCCATAAGTTCTGACCCAGCCCAGTGTTGGCCCAGACATTTTCCAAGATCCATTCAGTGGGAGAACAAATACATGGATTATTTTTTTGATACTGATCTTCGTTCAGACCTTCTGCAAGCTTTCCACAGCAGGAGTTTCCACATAAGCCATTGAGTCTTGAGAATGTTCTCATTATGAGTAATCCAGCCCAAACCATGGAATGGTTTGGGTTGGAAGGGACCTTAAAGCTCATCCAGCTCCAAGCCCTGCCACGGGCACGGACCCCTTCCACTGGAGCAGCTTGCTCCAAGCCCCTGTGTCCAACCTGGCCTTGAGCACTGCCAGGGATGGGGCAGCCACAGCTTCTCTGGACACCCTGTGCCAGCGCCTCAGCACCCTCACAGGGAAGAGCTTCTGCCTAAGAGCCCAGCTCAGTCTCCCCTCGGGCAGGTTCAAGCCATTCCCCTTGGCCTGTCCCTACAGGCCCTTGTCCCAAGCCCCTCTCCAGGTTTCCTGCAGCCCCTTTAGGCACTGGAGCTGCTCTAAGGTCTCCCTTTCAGGAGCCTTCTCTTCTCCAGGCTGAATCAGCCCAGCTCTCTCAGCTTGGCTCCAGAGCAGAGCTGCTCCAACCCTCAGAGCATCTTTGTGGTCTCCCCTGGACTCACTTCAGCAGGTCTATTAACAAGACCATCCTACTTCGTTACAGCCACTGCCAAAGCAAATTACCCATTGAGAATACTTGTAACATGGAAAGGGCAGTATCCTCAGCCAGCTCTGTTTCTGTGATCAAATAACCTGTGCCATATGGTGATATATGTTCCTGATGTTCCGATACATCTCAAGTGGCGCAAGCCAGCTCTTGGGCCAACTCGTGGGTTTTGGTCATTTGTATGCAAGGATTGTGCTGTATTCCTCTGAGGAATTGCCAGGCCTTTGCTCTGGGGTAGAGAAAGTGTCAGTTGTTCTCAGGTACTTTGTTAGGTGGGCTGCTAATGGCATTTACCCTGTCAACGCTTGTCCTTTGTGTGCTTCAAAGGACCACTACATGGGAAATGCATACCACTATAGCCTCACACTCACCCTGCTCACCCAACTCCCTCCTTCAAATCAAACCTAGTCCTCAGCTATTGCTGAGGAGTCCTTCCAAAGCCTTATTCTTGAGGTTAGGAGCCACCCACCTGGCTGGTGCCAGTTTATACCCGTTTGTTCCAGTGGCACTCAAGTCTTTGGGCTGTTTAGCTCATTGTACTCCCTAGTGTTTACACTTCAGTTGCCAAAGAGTGATCCTTTAATAACCCCCATATCACTACTCTGTATGTATGAGTCAGCTGAAGCTCAGTCAGCCCCACAAATAGATGACATTGAACTTCCTTGCTGCAGGAGTCAGATTCAGGTTGATTCCTGTGCAGTGGCCTACAGGTTGCAGCCTGTGTTTGTAAACAAGGCCAAGCTTGTCTTTAGCTTCCCACATTGAGTTCCTTAAATCTAGTTTTTGAAATAACTCAGGTACTTGAAACCACTTGAAAAAGTCTTTAGGTGGTTTAGAGCTTGGTCCTTCTCCTGGTTTCTGGTTCTGTTCCCTAAGGCACCATTCCACTTGGTAAAGCTTTGAGTCTAAGGACTAGTGCTGACTGAGAAGAAAGTAAAGTGCACACTGATAAAAACTGCCTGCTTCTTGAAGTGTTTCAGTGTAAGGGGGTTTGGGGTTAACTGGGGCATAATTTACCATGGGAAATGAATTGTTATGTGGGATGGCTGCCCTCTGTTTTGTAAAAAAGCAGAATTGTTGAACAGCCTGGCATGGCTTTTGTGGTGTTGATGGAGAGTCCTTCACATGATTGACTTAGAAGATGAGTTTTATGCCTACCCTCCAGCTTGTGATGTATTCATGTCGAAGTGGCTGTTTCCATGCTCTGTCTCTACATCCATTTACAGAAAAGAGGCATGCCACTGACCAAAGCTCAGTGACCGCAGGAGCCACATTCTGTCCTGTAAGGGCTTTACTTGCTCTTTCCTGTGGGATGTCTGCAGGGGAAGGTTGCTGATTTGATGGTGAGAAATGGGAAGGAAGGGTCCATGTTGGGAAGATGGTGAGAAACTGAGACTGGGTGAAGGATGAGAGAAACTTTATTTGATAAGTGGCTCCTTTGACCCAAGAGAGCAGCTCTTTGGCAGGTAGGAAGATCTGTGTATGGGAAGCCTAAATCAAACTCCTGGGAGGGATGTGACAATGCAAGGTGTTGGACTGTGCCATGTTCTGTCTGTTCTTTGCCTCTATCCCACTGCTGGAGGCGTTGCTCTCTTGGAAAACCAACCTGGAACACCAGCAGGGGCATAGTGAGCCTATGCAAAGCAGAAGGAGAAACAAGCAAATCATCCAGGGTTTAACGTTTCCTCAGCCAGAAGTTTGGATTTTTCTGCTGCCTTAATAAAAAAGGAACAAACCCCAAATTTGGGGTCACTGACAGCTGGTGTCAGGCTCCAGAACCACCCCCCCCAAGAGGGCCATGGGGGTTTCTCCCCATGCTATGATGTCTCCCTTCAGGTGCCCCGATTTGCACAGTGCAAGTGCCCGAATATCTGCAGGACTGAGAACTTGGCTCCACAGGTTCACGTGAGTCATCCACCCTGCAAAGCCATTGGAGAACGTCCCAAGAAGAGTGTCTCTGTCTTTCCCAAGGACAAGGGTCCCTCCAGCCTGGCTCACGTACCCCTTCTGGATACTCTTTGCTTTACCAGCTGCTCCATTGAGCCATAAATTTGCTGTTCCAGACCAGGAAGCCCATGTCATGCAGTAGTGCAGCCAATCTTGTGCCTTGTGGTACAGGGGGAAGCTGATGAAATGCCCTCCTATCCACAGTCCCACATCTGTGCCCACGGTCAGCACTAGCTCATTATCCTTCTCTTGTGTGGAGTAGGAAAGAACAGTCTGGCTGCCAGCATGCTGGGCTTTGATCCAGAAGCATAAGGTGAAGGCTTGGAGAGACATATCATGGAGGGGATGAATGTTGACAAAACTCTCAATGTTTTCCGCAGGGAAGTAGAAAGATGGAAAAGTGCTGGATTTAATACCTGAAACAACCAAAAAGCCAGCTGTTACATCTCCAGCTGTGCCTTTAAATAAGCCTGGATCCTGAAGAATACACCCATAGGAACTAGCACTCTTAGCTGTCTTGAGCCACAGTTACTGGTGTGTGTGTTGTACCAACATGGAATGGGCTTGAAATGGTGATAAGCTTAACTACTATTTGAGAAAATAACTTCCTTCTTTTCCCCTTCTTCCTTTCTTCTCATCTGTGTGTAAAAGAGAGCTAATGATTATTTACCCCAGGGGAACTGTCAGCTTAAAATCCTTAGTGTTTGTAAAAATGTGCTTACATGTTGCAGGAGAAAGCTGCAGTTACTGTGACAGTAGCTAGATTAGGGCCTAGAAATGGGACAAAATCCTACCTGCACATACCAGAATCAAACCTGTTAATGATTTAGGCCATGAGGGACAGGAGAGTGTGGATTCTTCATTCTTGCAAGGTAAGCTGGGCTCAAGAACACATGTGTGTTTCTTACCTATGTGGCTCCCTCCATTCAGCAACTCTCTCTTCATGTCTTGGAGCTGCATCTGGATTTGTTCCAGCCTGAGGTTGAATTCTTCTGGATGGCATTGTTCTAGAGCAATCAGACAGCTGAATTTACAGGAGGCCAGTACCTGCACATAGTAGGCTTTCCTGCTTTCTAGTTCGCAGGAGGTCCCTTTGTTTTAAAAGGCAATGTCCCACCTCTATGTGGTGCCTGGTTAACCAGCCATGCCAGGGGTGTTTCTGGACCCACCTGAGTGCAGACACACCTGAACCTAGTATGCCATTTAGCACCGCTTGGGAGATGTGTGACACCTCTGTGGTCAAAACAAAGGGCTGGCACACAACCTGCAGCCACCACTGCAGCATTAGAAACAAGGTGTGTTAGCAGGGGGCAAAGAGGCACTGGACCATCTCCGCCTTCTGTGCAGGGATGCTGCAACTCCCAGGAAAGGTGAGCTCCAGCATGCTTAGCTTGGGTGATTTGCAACTTAACTCCCTCCACGCTGGCTTCTTGCTTCTCCCTGGGTAATGCCTGAGTCCTGCCCCTTGACTCCCTTTACCTTGGGTGGGTTTGGATCTGAAGGAGGCCTCCACCACGCGCCCATGGAGGGGCTGTGCGTGCCGGTAGTCATTGCGCAGTGTTCTATTCTGCCAGTCCAGCAAGGTGTTCTCCAGGAGGCTGATCTGTGAGCAACACAGGCTTATTATGGAGGGCAATGGGGACAATGGTTTTACCAAGAAGGGCAGTGCAGATCCTGCAGCTCAGGAGTCAACCTGGCGAATAGTTACAGAGGAACCCACAGGGTCTCTTGCTGTGTATTAGCAAGGGAAAGGAACAGAACATGAGGGCTCTTATCAGTTAATTCATGATAAAGGTATTTGCCTGAAGGAAGTTTTTAACACCTGATGCTATGCATGGATGGAGATTTTGCTGCTATTCCACAGCATACTGTGTTCTCACAAGTGCCTATTACCCTTTCTCCTGCCAAAAAGAATGTTTCTTTTTCAAGTGAGAACACACTGTGATCCTCCACTACTGTAATCTCCATTTTATCTTGTTCTTCTCCTAGAAGAAAATGTTTCTAATGCTTCTGTTTCATTAAGGAGGATGAACCACTGTGCAACTCACAGGTAAGATAATTTGACTTGTGTTACTTTTTCCCTGGTAAAGCCTTTGTCCTGACAAGGCAGACAGAGAGAAGGGGATCCTGCCATGTGATGGTATTCAACTGCTGGGAGAAGTGGGGTTACTGCCCAGTGCTCCTGTGCACTCAAGTTCCTCTGTAATGCCTGCACTGGAGCCTGGATGAACCCTCTCCTATCACAGAGCCAAAACTCACAACAGGCTGCTCCTGATACGACCCAATCTAGCTGCACAATGTAAGTATAGACAAGAAAAAACCTGAAATGCTCTTTAAAAATGTGCCAATTATTCAGTAATTATTTTAATTTATGAATGGCTCTTTTATGGTTTTTGGGGGAGGGCTGGACTTTCTTGCAATAGTTTTTGCCTTGTTGATCCTGACTTATTTTTTCCTTTAGGTAGTGTTTCAGTATGGTTGAGCTTAACTGAGCAGAGAGCTTTGTTATTGCCCACCAGACCTCAGGTAAACTGCTGCTATACAGAAACTGGCTCTTGCTCTGAAGTCGCACCACAGTGTCATTCCAGCCACCTGCAATTCCAGTTAGGAGTCTATCCTCAAAAGCCCTGTAGAAGTGCCCCATTAGCCTCTCTGCCAGGCTGTTCCCCAGATCACTGGAGAACAGACAAGCAAGCTTGTACAAAAAGGTGAAGTGTGGAGGAAAGAGAAGCTGCTCTGTCTGGTGAAGCTGTCACTTACCTGTGTGTGTGACAGGAGAATTGGAGAATGAAAGATGGTCCAGATCACACTCTCAGAGCAAGGTGGGGTTGTCAGTGAGCCCTGGTACCTGTAGAAGTGTGAGAGGTTTTCTGGCAGCATGGCCTGGACATCCAGAGAAAGGAGCTTTGTCGATTGACCTCAAAAGGAAACAGAGAGGGAATATTAACAACTAATGGGGAGCAAAGAGAAAGGTGAAAGCAGCGTTAGGGCTGGGGCTGGCAAATCACTCTGCCCAGAGTATATTAGACTGCTGGCAGAAGTGGATGAAGGAGGGAAATAAACTGTCCTTTCAATAGACCTATTTGTTGTTCAGAACTGCGTGGGGTCCTGGATGTGGTGGGGAGCTGCACCTCAGTGCTCTGCCAGTAGCTGTTAGTCCTAGCAGAAAACGGCGTGTATTAGAGCAGCAGAGCATCTGCTATCTGGGCTTATGGATTGAAGGATCATAGGAAGTTGTTATTTGATGGTGCTGCAGTGTGATGCGTAGACCTACCAGGAGGATGTTTATTGCTGCCTTAAGCATCTTCCACACCACCCTGCTGTGTGGGCTGATGTTTGAGCTGCATGGGCAGGGACAGTGTGAAGTTGTGCTTGGCTATGTAACGGAAAGCAAAGCAGCAGTAAAATTTTCCCAGAGCCAGTACATATGTACAGGCTTTGAGAATATCAAGGATGGAGAAAAGCATTCCCAGGTCTTACCTGCAAACCTGATTTTTGCCAGTTTGGAAATGAATTCACTGTAGTAGGTATTCTCGAAGTGTCCATCCTAAACACAGCATAGCAACTTGAACAGGTTAGTGACCTGCCTGTGCTTGCACACTATTAATCAGTTTGGGGGACTAATTGAGGAATTGGAAGACAAAGAGAACAGACACTATCTCAGATATCTTGGTATGATACGAGGTATGTACATGTAGATTTCAGAATGGTGAACTGTAAGGATCCCTTTTCACCCCTTCTAAACAAAATGAAGTGCTCCCATTTGCAAATCAGAGCAAGGCCTTGAAGTGCAGCAGGGAAAACCCTGCTGTCACCCCTGATATTCCATGTGTACTTCTTATGGGACAAATTTATCTAGGGCTCCTAAGTTGTATTGGCTAGTATTGTGGCATAAGGGAAGAACAGTCCTCCTAAAGCACAAGCACAGCTTACTCAAGCTGGTGGCAGGTATCATCTCTTGGGATAGACATGCATACCTACTACAGGCTGTTTGTATCTGGGCTGTGATTACAGTATGAACAGTGGTCAGACTGGCCTTGCTCAGCAGCCTGGGCATCAAACCTTACCGCGTACAGGAAGGCAAGCACAGCCAGTCCATTTGGTTTGTCTTTGGCTTCTTCAAAGCTCGAGTAGTCAGCTGAGTTGTAATGGACAATGTGCAGCTGTCAGAAGAGAGACAGGGTCAGCAAGAAGTGATAAATGGCTTCCTCTGTGCTTCAGAGGACCTAGTGCAGACTGAAGGGGGAGTCACAATCCCAATTCCTGCTGCTTGTGCCTTACAGCACAGCCAAGCAGACCTTTCTATAGGGGTTTTTTTAATAGGTTTGTGATGAAATGTGGAGGAACAACTCCAGACTTGAAGGATATTAGTGCTATGGGTTTTTTAGTCTTTTATAGCAGCACCATCAGGCTGAGCTGTTGCACTGCACCAACACCTGCACTGGTGGGAGCCCTATTTCTCCCGCTTGCCTCTGCATTGCTTGTGCAGGCTTTGTGGGCTGCAGCTTCCAGTTTCCCAACTGGCAGACCTGCAATGCACCCTCCCTCCAGCTCACTCCATTCACATGTACCTCTGCAAAGTATCTCATCCCATCTATGGTGTGTTCAGAGCCGCTGGTCTCCAGGTCCAGGCCACCCCAGTGCAGATGCATCTGTACAGCTGTGTAGAGGCCAGGGAGCCCTCTGGAGATGTGCATGGTGGGTGGCAAATCAATCTGAACTGAAAATAAACAGGATTGGAGACAGCAGTTGGTGCAGCCATGCCCATTCTTGTAGTTGTGCTTACAGTGCCCAGTGCTTTCTGCCAGTAACTCCTGAAATAAGCAGGAATAGGCACGTTCAGGGAACTAACTCCAGTATACAAGGAAAACCACTGAAGCATAAAGCTAAGTGTGCATAAAATCTTTCCTGACCTCAGGCTTGTGCACCACAAAGACTAAACCAGGCACAAAAATGACTGGGCACAACCCTCTGCATCATCTGCAATCTTTCCTATCTAAGCAGCTCTGGGTTTTTAATTAGGCACTAAAAGTGCTTTAATGCTCATCTCTCCCACAGTACATCACATCTTGCAGGGTTCTGCACAGATTTAACTGCTTTCTTTCCAAGGAAGAAAAGGGGAATGGAAATCAACAAAGTGAGTGGCCTCCTCTAACCTGTCATCACCATTTCCAGTGTCCTAGAATCTGCATCTTCTAGGAACAGGAATACTGGGCCAGAGCCCTCTAAGTTTGAAAAGGCTGTGTTCATGCTTGAAGGATTTGTAGAGACGAATCTCTTTGCTTCTCCTTGCCAAGGAGCATTCACAAAGAGACTATGAACCATTTGTCTTCCTGCTAATATACTGCTACAAATCATATATTATGTTAATAAATATGCCAAACCTAGGAGGGAAAATGGGAATTGCCTCATCCTAATAAAAGCCCACAGCATGTCACAAAAAATAGCAACTACCCTTGCAAAATGTGGCACATTATATGATTCATTAGTCACAGATTCTGTTAGTGAGAAGCTTCTTTTGCTTGTAAACTGTTTCCAGGCAGACAAGATGAAAACATCTTTCCTTGTAATATCCTGAAGAGCCTCGAGTGTATGAGGGGGAAATCTACCTTTTCACACAAGATCCCTGCTGACTGCCTTCCAGAGATAGGCTTATTTGCCTCAAGTACCTCACTATGGTTTCTGCTTTCTACAAAACACAGCCAGGGAATTGTGCTCTGAGTTTATGACAAGCTCAAGTCCTCTGTAAGATATCTAAAGCAAATATTTGCTGACAGCATGAAGGCAGGTAACAGCCCACTCATCTAGGCGTTCTCAGGTGGGGTTCAGCCTGGTAATTGTACAGCTAGAGAGAAAGTGAAGCTGGTTTCTTAGGTGAAACAGTTGATCTTCAGCTTCTCAGAGCTTGTAAGGAGAATCTTGCTGACAAACCCATCTCCTATTCTTTCCGTTCTGCTGAATGCTTTCTGCTGTGGCCCAGTGGAATATTTTCTCTGAGAGATACTGCTACCATGTCCCATCCCGCTGATGCCAGTAAGAAAACCCTGCCTGACTTCACAGGAGCTGTGAATAAGGACAATCATTTGCCTTTGTGCTTTACTAAAATGCCCTGCATGGGAAAACCATTGTTTTGATGTTAACAAAAGGATAGGAAAATACACATGCTCAATCACGTCTGAAAGCTACACCTGCAGGAATTCATTTGTAGGCAGTCAGGGTAGCAATGCTGACATGAGAGCTTTAACTGAATGTTAAGCTTGTGAGGGCAACAAACAGAAGTTATGGTTTTAAGAAACAATCACCACGGTCTTTCTCTGAAGGCATTACACTTCATCTCCCTGCCCTCACACCATGTTTCTCTCTGTCTCTGTTAGAGAGAGGAAGAAAGGACTGGCCTGAAGGATTAAGGAGCACCAGCTTTGTGTTCCAAACACCTTCCCAGAAACACTCATTCCCTCCCCACTGCAGCTATTAGAAAATTCTCTCGTTGCTCATCTGTAGTCCAAAAGCATTATCCCAACAGTACCAGCTGATGAATTATTTAGGCAATGAATTACAGACTGCAGCAGGGGAATCCAGGACCTCTTAATTTATAAACCTTGCCCCAAGGCTCTGTGGCCAAAGGCAAGGCTTTTAACCCATGCTGTGCTTCAGCTTTTCTTCCCGATAACTGAAATACCAATCCTCTGACTAGAAGGGAGTGTTGTACTTTGTGTGACCTGCATCTAACCAAACCTCAGACACAAACCTGCTACTGAACTATGGTTCTCCATTCCTATCATTTCTTATTATTGCAAAAGATGCATTTTCTAAATGCAGAGAGGAGTCGGTATGCCCCAAATACCACTCACTGCTGTAGTCCTGCAGTCTTGTACTATACGGAATGAAAGGGTCAATCTATAATGCTCTATCTGCCTTTTATCCATTTTTGATGTCTAACAGAGAAATTATCTTGCAGGAACATAACTGGCTTTTTATTTCTCTGGTTTATACACATGTTTCTGGAGTGCTTTCCTGTGTGATTGGGGAAAACAGCAGAACTACAGGAGCAGAATGAAGTGAGATGAAAAGCAAAGTAAGGTGAGTTCAAAGAAAAAGGGCATTGTGTGTGAATAGCATTTCAATCAGCTAAAATGAATAATCTGTTCCTGCACTTTAACAAGCCTGACATCCTCCCAGGATATCTGAGCTAGGGAAGAAAATACTGCCTATTGCTATGGCAAAGCTGGCTCCTTCTACCCCATTTCACCCTAGTGACACTGGCTGGCCAGAAAAGGTTTGTAACTGTGTTCTAGTTAGGGTAAAGTGCTCAGGTGAACACACGGGAGCTCTTCCCATATTCTGTGTGTGTTAGAACTTCCAGGTGAAACCTCCAGAGGATACACCTCAGCCTACTTTATAGCTTCAAAGTTGAAAGCTGTCACGTTCAGGCATCTCTTCCATTAGCTGTCCCAGCAGGAAGGTATGTGCTTTCTCCCATCAGAGGCACTGCAGGACTCAAACCAGTATGATGCAAACCTGAACTCATCAGGATGCTAGCAAAGAGGTTTGGATAAAAGGGGTGAGTTTTCAGACCTACCATTAAAGACATCTAAGGCCTTTGCTTGGCTGCTGGTGACCTGTTCCCTGCGCTGCTGGCTGCCAGCATCACCCACTGTCGTGGAAACAGTGCATGGGATGCCCCTGCATGCTGCGTGTGCAGTGGTCCATGCATGTACAAAGCGTTAGCCCCGTTTTGCTCAGGGGGCAAAATGGGACTGATGGGGTCAGGCAATACTTGCTTCTTTGGTGCTTTGCTTCTCTTTCAGACAGAAGGGTGACTGACAGCTCAAGCTGCTGCAGGACCAACTAAACTCCTTGCGCTCTGTGCCCTGATTTCTGTTTCAGGCTCTTCCTTTGCCAGCAATGAGCTTTTGGCCAGCTCCTGGTTTTTAGGCAGGTAATGAGAAGAATCCCCCTGGTCTTACCAGAGTGACCATTGTTGGTCATGGTGAAATCCCCCTGCAAAGGCCCATCGTAGCCACTCAGCTCCAGCTGCAGCAACTGGGGGTTGTACCTCACTTTTTTCCTCTGGATGTCAACTGGAGATTGGCGCTTGCCAGCACAGTCTGCAAAGTGCTTTCCCCAGTGCTCTTCATCCAGCTCTCCTTCTGTGTGGAGGAGAAGCAAACCAGGTTATTAGGGCATGGTGAGAACTGTTGTTAGCTCAGGAGTCAGAAGACTCCCCTCATTTGCCAGCAGGGTATGTCAATCTAATTATTATAACACCAGGAGCTGCAGCAATAAAAGGTTGCTGTGCCTTCCCTAGAGTGAAAATATACATTATTCTGTCTGCAGGACAGCTGTGGTGCAAAATAAGAAGCCTGCATTGCAGTAATAGCTTGCTGATCACTGGGGACTGAACCTCCACCAAAAGAGAAGCAGTATTTCTACAGAAATGGGGATTTAAATGGGTCTCAACTGTCAAAGATGTGAAATCAGGTTCTTAACGAATGTGAGAGTGAATAGGACCAGGGCTATAGGTGGAAAGTCTCTCCTTAGGGTTAGGAACCAACAGCAAATTTGCTATTTTTAACTCAAGATTGCTAATAACAGAAGAATATAAAAGCAGAGTTCAAACCATTCCAGGTTTAAATACATTTAATCTTTTGTATGCTTTCAGGGATAGGAGTGGTCTGGGGTGGCTTTGATATCTTGGGAGAGTTTTCATTAACAAAACCACCCCTCTCCTGAGCGCAGAGCTGTACCTCTTCCTGGGGCCCCCTTTGCACACACAACAAATAATAAGTGATTCACTTAGATAGTGAATCTAGTACATTCCACACCAGGATAGGCAGATCCTGGTGTGGAATATGAGCTGGGTGTCCCAATGTCAAGATACAGTTTATTACTCTGAGCTCTTGGTGCCACTTCAGCCCCGAGGCCTAATAGCCCCTAAAGGTCATGCCAAGTGTTAATACCAACTCCTTTTGCTGCTCAGTGTCACTAGCTCAGACACAGACCTTTGACATGGGACTAAGAATTAAAGGCCACAGCTTCACCTGCACATGCTCATCATCTCTGCAAGTATTTAATGTTAAAAACCTCCTCTGATCACCTTATAGAGGAAGTAAATGTGTAGGAGACCTGGCATGCTGGATGCTATCCTTTTTCTGATGGTTCTAAGCCTTTTAGCCCTAATGTGAATCTTTCCTGCAGAGGACTGGGTGCTGTTGAAACTGAGCAAATGCTTGAACCCTTCAAGGCTATTTGCCCTTTCCATAGTGCTATATTTAGGACTTTAAGTAGAAATATTGATGCCATCTCTGTCATGGCTGTAACCGACAACCAGAAAGGAAACCTTTTCTTCTTCAGCCCAGAACTGAGATATATTGATTAATGTCAGAGTCACGTCTGTCTGAGACAAACAGAGCTACAGCTGAGGAATAATCCTCATGTGATTGTGGAACTCAGACTTCAAAACCTGCATAGATGGGTTGGAAGGCAAGGTGATTGCTGTGAAAAGGGAAATAATTCAAAGCCACTTGCTCACCTTCCTAATTTTCAGTTACAATGACAGCCACACCTGAGGAGTGGTTGCTATTTGTTAATCCTTTTTATTTCATTGAAGCAATGTCAGTTTGCAGGTGCTTGTTTCCTGGCATTGATTAAATATGGGGGAGTTAGGACATGCAGAGAGCCCAGCCTAAAGAAAACCCAGAGAGAACTTCTGCAAACAGCTTAGTGTCCTAATCGCACTATCTCGTTTATCCAACAATATCCTTTGCTTTATCTCGATTCCCAGCCCACTGCAGATCATAAAAGGACTATCATTTACTTCAGTGAGCTCTGCAAACAACCTCCTGAAATGGAAGAAAATCAGATAAAATTTCATAAAGAATATAAATACATAAATAAGCACTTCTTAGTGATCTGCACCGCATGGGATATGACAATGAAACAATAAGTATGCAGTATTTTAAAGCTTTTCCTTCCAGGATCATCCAAAGGGCAGCTTTTACTTAAGCACATGTGAAGGTTTCCCTTATTGTTTGAACCTCCTTGATCTGCCAACTCTGACAATGTGTCCTAGCCACACAAAGGAGTAAAAAGGGGTAACATTGAAGAGAATCACTTTCAAGACGCACAGGCATCAATAAAGTGCATTAAATTAGGTGCTGTGTGAAGATCTTTCACTAATGGAAAGAGTCAAGCTGAGTGTTGCTTCTGCAGCACAAAAAGCATGGGAGTGTCTTAAGCAGTAGAGATCCCAAACCAGCCTCATTTTGCGTTACCTTTGTATGTCCAGTGCACTAGGTGAGAGCAGCTTGGATGCACCAGGAGCAGGTAGAACAAGGCAGCTGTGATCCACATCTCTCTCACTGTATCTGCTGTAAGAACCAAGGGGAGAGTGAGTTCTTTACAAATCCTCAGGAAGCACAGATACCAGTTTACTCCAGGTCTGGCCCTTCCAGCACCCATCTTGCCCTTCTACCCATTCAAAACAGTACTAGCAAACGATGCCCCAGAGAGATTTTATTTAGACAGCTTTAAATACTGAGGGCACTTTATCAACCCTTTGAACCACTGTCTGTGCAAATGGAACAAGTTCCCCCTCAACAGCCAAAGCTGGTGGTCTCAGTGCTGTCTGTGCACACTCCTGCCCACATTTCCTGTCCATTCATTCCTGATGAGCAGGTTGAAATGCTTCATTGCAAGTATCTGCAAAACAGTGCTTTGTAAGCAAAGATGCCTAATACAGAGCTCCAAACACTGTCTTGAGATGGCAAACTGTTTCCTTGTCACACAAAGGAAGGAGCCAAGGCAGAAGACATTTAAGGGACTGGTTTTCACACTCTTACCAGAAGTCAAAATTGTAGGCACACAGCTCCTTTGAAATTACACTTCTGAGGCCAGGTTTACAAATGCTCTCACAGCTTAGTGTTTTAAAGCATTTTGCTTTCAACACCATCTCTAGTCACTGAAAATCTAGTTTTGAATGGGAGAGATCTGCAACCTTTGGAAAATTCAGAGTTGTGAAAAAGCATTTAGGCTGCTGGAAGACACAGGCATGACACAAGATACTGAAACCCTGATGGCTTTTTAAAACCATACAGGAGATCAAATAAGAACTAAGAGGCATCAGACGTCCAAATGTTCTTCTGGGCTTCAGGAGCTGCTCTGCACATCCTCAGGCACTCCATTTCCCTAAAAATGTGTCCTGAGCAAATAATTGCCCAAGATCCAGTGAAAGAGTAATTCAGCAGATCAGGGAACAGGCCATGGGTCTTCTGCCTGCCTTTTGTATCCTGTTACTAGGCAAATGTCATTCCCTTTGAATAGCCTTCTCCTCCCTCTAAGAATGACACCCACTGAGCAGCAGCCCTTTCTGGCCAGCAGTGCTTCCCAACCCATAAACCCACTTTAAGAACAAAAGTGGAGCAGAAATCTCCCCAGAAATGGAATTTTCACCTGGTGTTGAGAAGAGTACACGCAGTACAACTTTGTTGTTGGCTGTGGGTGACGGGCAGCAATACGAAACACTTAGCAAGAAAGCTGACATCAGTGAAATCGCAGCACTTCTGGTTGCAGTCTCCCTGCCACTTGCAATGATATTTGCAGTTATTGTTTTCAGCAATAGGGTATGTAATAACAGCAACTGAACAATGAGAGCTACAGGTGAGTTTCAGATGGGAACTCTGGTTACTAGGATTAGGCTGTGCTGAAGAACAGAAGCAGGTTTTCTATTCAAAATCTGACTCTTTGCAAGGGAATTGTTAACATTAAAAGGCTTTCCTGGTTTGGGCTGTGCATATTTAATCTTTGGAATTATTACTGCTGTAATATTGGTGATTAACCAAATGTGTAATTTTATCCTCTCTCCCCTAAAGAAGTCATTTATCCTGACAGTTGCGCTGAACTGTGTAAGGACTAAACTAATCAAACATGCCCTGCGATGCTCTTCATAATCCTTGTGTATCCTGTTGGGTAAACAGGCTTTGAAATTAGCTGAGGGAGAAGTTTTGGGGGTTTATGCTGTTCATACTCCAGGATTCCACACAGCAGCACAGGAGGGTGTGAACAAGAGTCAAGAAGAGGAGGTCACTCTTGCATCACAGCATCCCTCCTGTCACCCTTCCTGCCTGTGTGTGCCAAGAGCGTTTAAATGGATGTCACTTAGGGACAAGCTGTGCTTTATCGATCAGCCAGCCCAGTCTGCACAAAGGGTTTGAAATGAAGCCCATTTGGGACTGTAGTGGCGCCAGGGAACTGGAGATGACAGTGAATTAATTCTTAATGGAGCTTTTGCAACATGCTAGAATTGTGACATTTTAATTGCCATCAGCAGGAGCCCTGGGTGCTCAGCACAGCCAAAACCAGCATCTCTGTTAGCTCAAGTTAGCTTCTTCCAGATTAGTGGTTACTCTGGAAGGCACAGCAGTCTGGGGACAGGATTTACTAAGGGCACTAAGTATGAATTTGCTTTGGAGTTAGGACAGAATAATTTTAATTAAACTCATTAAATGAATATTAAGCTTCTAACTACAAGTTGAGTAATAAGGGAGGAGACCTTCTCCTGTATGAAGTATTGCACACATCTATCATTATTGGTTTTGGAGCTATAGCTTTTTTAGTGTCTATGGTATTACACCTGGCTTGATGCTTGTCTTTGTTAGTCACCTCTTTTGCTATCTCAATGTAATTGCTAGAGAGAAGTATGGATATAGTGCCCAGGAACTCCAGATATCACAGCAGGACCATGCTTGAAGTAAACTGGTGTTTTACAGGTGAAGAAGACTGTAGGTCTAACCGGACTCCTCTCTGCACCCTTTAGCTAGTGAGAAGATCTCATGTCAGGTTATCTCAGCTGTGCATATCCTTGGCACGATTTCCTCACAAAGTCAGGCTGCTTTCACACAGATGCAGTTACACAGACGTCAGCCTCCCCAACCCCGCCTTGACTGCATTAGGAAATAAGCCTTTTATCCCACATCATTGCCTTCCATGCACTTCACTTTTATCTCTACGGTTTCCCCTGACTTTTTGCCATCTTTTAAACCCTGCTTCTCCCAGGCTCTTCCCTCTGTCCTCACTGGCCTAAACCTCAGCTCAAGTCTGACTTTCAGACCCATTCTGAGTATTGGTAGCCACATTAAAACCTTACCATCGCACTGAAGTAGCTGGCTCAATACCTCAGTGCTCCTTTGACCCAGAATTTGAACGGGTTAACTCCTTTCCCTCTGAATCAGCAGGAATTTCATCAGGGGTTGCAGCAATAGCTGCATCACTCCCAAGCCAACAAACATTTGACCAGGAGCAGGCTGTTGGATGTAAGATGGAAAGATTGCCTTCAATCAGGCTATCTAGGTTTTCATAAGTGAGTCCAAAACCTCTTCAAACGGAGCTCAGGCTGGAGGAATGAGCCTACACAAGTTTTATAACAACAAAAAGCAGCTAGTGCTGCTAGCCCCAAACCCATGAGTAATGCTGGCAATAGCTGTGCAGATTGAAACATGAAATCCTTTTATTCAACAATTCCTGTAATGTTTTTACATCTCCTGTTTAGAACTGGCCCTTGCTTCTTTGAATTTTGTCTATGCTTTATTCCCCCCCCAAACCTCATTTTTGCCCCCTGGCTTCCAGCTACATACAGAGAGCACAGAAGTGAAAGTAGTGATGTAGTTATAGGACATGGGGTAATGGGTTAAAACTTAAACAGGGGAACGATTCTAAACGATTGGATATAAGGAGGAAATTCTTTCCTGTGAGGGTGGTGAGGCACTGGAATGGGTTGCCCAGGGAGGTTGTGAATGCTCCATCCCTGGCAGTGTTCAAGGCCAGGTTGGGTGATATGGTTTAGAGCGAGGTGTCCCTGCCCATGGCAGGGGGGTTGGAACTGGATGATCTTTAGGTCCTTTCCGACCCGAACTATTCTGTGATTCTATTCTATGATTCTAAGTCAAAGCACTAGAATTCATTTCTCCAGTTCACACAATCCCTTTAGGCCTCCTTCCTCTTCTGTAGTATTTGGATGTGCTTGGCTAAATTTACCCTCTCCCACCATAAATTCAAACACATTTGTTGATTCTACTGAAGCTTTGTGATAGAAATGGGCTTTGAGGGAGTCAGGGATAGACACTGGAGGTTTACACCAGTGTTCTAAAAGCAGGATTTGTCTATTTTAAAGCAGAGAGGTTCCCTTTGGAAATTCCATTTCACGCTCTAACAGATCTCAGCATTAGCTACCTGCAGTTCATTGTCACCTTACATGTTTTTTTGCTCAGTTTCAGCCAATTACTCTTAGTCATAGGTATAGCTATTGGATCATCTTAAAGCACTTTTCCCTCTTTAATGCTCACATCACTTCTGGGGTGGTTATCGCCTCACTGCACCAGGAGCAGCCTTTCACTCACCATTTCCCCAAGGTGGCAAAAAGGACAATGTGATGCTATAAAAAGAAGAGAACATGGTCAAATAATCCCTCTTCCATTTTCATTTCCAGGAAATGTAATTACGGTTCTTGTAATATCTTTATAGGTCTGCTCTACAGACTTTGCTGAAAGTGACTTACGTCACTTATGTGACTTATTTGAAGTGACTTATGTTCTGGATGTCTACTTAGGAAAATAAACCCAAAATGTGAAGGAAGAATTAGGAAGGGTCCATATTCCCCTTGTATTTAGTGTTAGGTACACAAGAACATGGCCTGAGTGCTGCTGAGAACTGGCCTGGGAGAAGTTTTTCCATCATACCAAGGCTCTGTGCTGTGGAACAGATGGTGGTGGGAAAAAGGAACAATGCAGTGACAAGACAGCTTGACAACCTGTGCAAATACTTGTCCACCTTCTCAGACACCGTGTTAGTAGTGTTGTATACATATCTGCACATCCTTCCATAAAAACACTCATTTTTGATCCTGATCTCCTAGTGCGATAACATGTAGAAGAAGCACAGTTGCTGCTCAGTCTCTCTGACACTCAATATTAGCAGTGCCTAAACACAGGAGAAATCCCTAAGCCCCTCAACAAACAAACACTCCTCACAGAAAAAATAAGGCTTCTGGAAATGTGGCTGTTGCCCATTGCTGGGTGAGCACTTTTCCCTTCTTATTTCAGCTGCATTGTGTGTTGAGCAGCTGTGACATCCAGTGGCCAAACACAATACATTTGAGTCTGGTAGAGAACTCTTCATACATGGTAACAATAACAGAGCCCTTTCATTGCACTTTCCATCTTCAAAGAGTTGTATAAGCAGTATTTCATTAACCCCTACGTAGCTCAGTGGGGCAGATGAATGTAGTGACCCTAAAAGTACATGTGATAAGGGGGTTACCATTTCCCAAGCACGGCAGGCAGCTCTTTAGGCAGGCAAAGAACCTGCCCTAGGGCCAGAATGCAAGACCATAACCACCACTGTAGGGAGCAGCTGCTGGGAGACAAGGGATAAGAAAGGTGCAATTCATTCAGCATCTGATGAAGATGCCATACCTGAGGAAAGGGTTGTGCTTGTTTTCCCTGGAGCAAGAGTTAATGCTAATGGACTGAGCAAAGCTGTATCAGAGGACATGGCAGGACCAGGGCTGTTTTCAAGAGGTGATTTGTCAGGGTCCTGCTCAAAGGAAAAGGCTTCTGCAGTGATTTTCTGGAGACATCGGAGGACTTTTCTGATAGATGTAGAAGGGGAGGAAAGGAGTGCAAACACAGATCTGGATTAAGAAATACAGTGGTGGAATGAAAGAAATGTGACTGTAATAATATCCCAGTGTTAACTGGGATTCCTGTTGTGACAGGTAAATCGGAAGATACAGAAAATAAGGAAACAAATCAGGGGAAAAGAGGAGCTGGATCTTGCCCATGCAGCAGAGCATCCCAGTTCGATGCTAAAAACATCTATTCCACAAAGAAAGAAAAAAAGTAATGGACCAAGAGATGGGTTTTCACAGGCCTGTGTTAATGGGGGGGATTAGTGGATATAAAGACTTCTAACAGAGGTTTAATGGTTGCTTTTAGACTTAGGCATTCCAGACTTTCCTTAACCCTTTGTGTTTGAGGTATGTGGTGTTGAGGTATGTGAGCTGAGTGGGTTTGCTGAGCTGCTCACAGCCTATGAGTGTTAGCTTTCGGTGAGTTTTAATGGTGCAATTACTCCATATCCCATGGACTGCAAGGTCCAGGAAGACAAGTAAAAGTTATGTGTCTTAAGTATGAGTTTGCTACCTTAAGGTTCTTTTCTAGCCCGTGCAGAGAAACACCCTTAATACAGATGCTGTGTTTTATATGGATATCTTTGAGGTCAATCCAGGCATGACTGTTTCTATTATCCCTGTTTCCTTTTGATTATAAAAGCAGACTTGCATGACTCAGAGATCCAAACTATGAACAGATGTATTCAGTTTTAGAGCTCAAGAAGTCAGTCCCTGCTTTCCCCAAGTTATCTGTGCCTCAGTGGTTGCTTGCTCAGATGGATTTTTGCTGCAGGCAGTGTCCATGCAAGGACATTCAGCATGAGCAGAAGCTCCCACAGTCCCTCCTCTTGCTTATCACCACTCTCTGCCTGTGCAAGGAGAGGGAAGATGATAGGAGCTCAAAGCGATTCCCATGAGAAAAGAGGTCAATGTTTTAAGGCAGGAAGACAACATAAAGGGAATTTAAATCCTACTGTCTGTGCTGTACCTGTTCTGTAGCAAGAGAATCCTGCTTGATAAGTCTTGTGCTTTACATTAAGCGCTACACACTCATTAAGAAAACAAATGAGTTGTTACTGGTTTATTCATACTGGGTTTGGGGTTTTTTTTCCAGGTTTCCACTCTAAAAAACCCTAAATATCAAATATAATTCCATAATGGCTAATCGATTCCTAGCTTGCTTTCCCCTTTTTTGCAGAATGTATTCCAAAGTGAGAGGGAAAGACCTGCTCAGCAAGGAGTCTCAAACCCCCTGTAAGAGGCAATGTGAGATTGCCCACTGGCTTCTATAAAGGGAATTACTTAATGGTTTCATCATGGTTTGAATGAGCAGCTATGGCCTTTGGATGCACAGTCCCAATAATTACTATCCAGCTGGTTTAAAAGCTTTTGGTCTCACCTCAAATCACCATAACAGATCATTAGCTGCTGGGAAATGTACTCCATGGTACTAGCACCCTGATTTGTGCATTGGTTCACTTCCAAATACCCTTCACCATCACCTAGAAATGCATGTAGTAGTTTCATAAGTAGGTTAGCATTTACAGAGGTTACAAAGTAGTATATTTTCCCTATCCCAGCCATCTTATCTGTATCTTTTGTTGTTGCCATAGTTGTTCTATCTTAAATAAAGTCAAAGTACGCTGCTTAGTACATAGCTGTCTAGTACAGCTATTGTATACTCATATAGACTGATTAACCCATGCAATATATCCATCGCTGCACACAAACCTGTGTCCATAGTATCACTGTCAAAAATGGCCAGTTAGTTTAATGTCACTTGCATCTTCAGCATCCACTAAATCCCCCTTTAGGACTGAATAAACCCTGAGAACCCATTTCATAGAAACTCAGACATCAAATCCTCTGGCCAAGGTCTGTAAGCTCCCTGCCCTGTCCCTGCTGGCTTGGAAACTGAGGGCAGTATTTTCCATAGAAAATTCAAATCCCAACTCAACTGAAGCCAGCTGGAGTTGGAGAAAGTCAGAAATCAGACTGAGGTATCAAGATGGGGTCCCTGCAGCCATGCAGGGTTGGTCACTCCAGCAGCAGGTACTCACTGACAACTCTTCATTTAAGTTTTGTGCTGTAACTGATGTTTCTATTTGAGGACCTGAACAGATCTAATTCAGTCTAGGTTCTTCCCTTACCCCAGTCACTGTGCTGAAGTTACTTTCAGACTGGCTATTAAATGCAGGAACTGGTGGCTTTTAATTCATTTTCAGGATGCTAACCAGTCCATCTCTGAAATCCTGGGAGAAGACAGGAGAATTAAGAGAAGTGATGGAAGTTATAAGCATTAAGACATCAGGTCTATCTTCTCAAGTCATTTAATTACTCATGTGCCTAAACCCTGTGCTGTTTAATAGCAGAGTTAAGCTGTAAGACAAAAGCATGACAGAACAGGGGGATGAGAAGCAAGAGAGAAGGTTGTAAAGTCAGAGGAGGTTTTGACTGCGTGGAAGGTAACATCTCAAACAGTCATTCAATAATTTTAATAGATACCAGAAACAGCATTAGTCAGGCTCTGCCATTACCTTTCCAATGAATGCTCCTTAAAAATACCAGGATCTGCAGAGTGAATGAAGGGAAGAAACCTGAGCCATAGAGCTGTGACTCCTGCTTTCCTCCGGAGATCTCACCTCGAGTGCAGTGGCACAGTCAGGAAGCCTCACTCTGATGCAGGACTGCTTTGCAAAAAGACACTTATCGAAACATGAACAGGTTGGCACTTGCAGAGCTGTGGGATAGAGGAGATGAGGGTGGTGCATACAGCAGAGACCCAGACACGTTCCTCAGGTGTTTTGGGAGGCACTGGGGGGGGAAAGAAGTCCCTGACTATTCAGGAAGTGTTTTCAAGCTGCTAAGAAGGCTCACACCCTGCAATGCACCCTACACTGCATAATGGTTCTTCAGCATACTAATGCACCAGCAAACAAGTCCTGATCTGTGGTAGTTCTGCTCCCTGCCTTGGCATCCTCAGGCATTTGAATCAGTGATTTCACACTCTGCAAAGCTCCGAACTCTCCTACCCAACCACTTTAAACAGGGAAGGAAAAGGCCCACCTCATCAGCTTCTGTGCTCATGAGCATGTTGCAAGCAATTAAAAACCTTACCTATATTACACTTAGAGTTTTCCTAGGGTCTGTAAAGCACAAGGAATGACTAGGCCTTGCAATGCAGGGGGATGTGGATCATGAGAGTTGTTTTCCCTTGCTGGGTTGTCAATGCCTGTAAGCCTGAGCTGTGTTTCTTCTCCATCTGCTCCATCAGCATGTTATACCAACGTGTTAGTGTACTTGTGTGGGCTGTCAAACTGGATTACTAGTTACAGTGGCTTTATGTTTCCTTAAACTCTCTGTTCCCAGTGTCCATCCCATTAGGCATACATCCCCCCTCCCAAACCATGAAAGAAATACTTTAAGAGAGTGCACTGAGCACTTGATTAGCTGGTGGCAAGCCTGAATTCCCACTGAAACTCGTGCTGGCTCCCTATCTCATAGCCTTAGGGATGCTCAATTCTGAAGAAAAAGAAAACCCAGGCAGGATACATGACTGAGCAGTGGCATTTTCATTCCACATTAACATGTATTTTACAGCGCAGTTTTAAATCTGCTGATCCAGGAAATACTATGCCAACACCTGAACAGTGCCAGGCTTCTGCTCATGGATGCCTGATCAATGCTGCCTCTAGCTACTGTAGTGCCAGTGTCTTCAGCTGTGCCTTCTCTTGCAGACACAGGACTCAGTGGAGCGGACACAGCTCTTGGCACACCATCTGTGGCCAGAACCCCACGTGAGTCCTGCCTGCCAGGAATGGGACCATGCAGTTGGAGGGGGGGGGATGCAGGTTCTCAGCACACAGCTTTTTGCTCACACTCCAGCAGCAGATACGTGTGGTCACAAGGAAAGATGAGCCTCAGCAAGGGAAGAGCTTAGGCTGCTCTTCTACAGCCAGTCCTTTCCCACAGCTTTGGTTTGGTTGAACAGAAACACAGAGCTGCAAGAAGCCCAGTGCTCAGCTGCCCAGGCCAGAGGGTTTGCTTTACACTCCACTTCTGCCTGCCAGCAAGTTTTGACCTTTCAGAACGTCTTCTATTCCCAAAGAGCACCCTACCATACTTCACCATCAGCCTCTTGCTCAACTACTACAATGTTGAATTTCCCTCAGCTCTAGACTTTCTTGTGCTGCACCTTCTCTAGCTATTTATAAGACTCGACACCTCTATGTGATTTTTTCATGCATAGCAGTTTTATGAAGGCAAAAACAGTGGAGCATCTCTAATCCAGCAGCTGTCCAGCATAAAAATCCAGTTGTATGATTTCTACCATCTGATTGCTCAGGAGCACGTTTTGGTAGGGAATGCTCCCTTCTCACTCATTTTGCTCCAGGATAAGTCAGAACTATTGCCAAAGACACAGCTATAGAGGGTATAACATGCAGTTTTGGGGAGGTTGGCACTGCAAGGAGCTATCTACCTATATGGTGACAGTTTAATTACAAGGGCTTTTTGTGACCAGTATTTTTTCTCTCAGCTGTGTGCAGCCCAGCAGCATTTCAACCTGATTCATGGCCCTGCAGCTCACATGAATCTGCACATTCAGCAAGGCAGAAAGAGCACCAAAAAACACCATAGGCATGTGGGCCATACCTCACTGTCACAAAGCAGCTTGGGTTTCACATGGTGTCTCCTTGCTAGGAGCAGTGCAGGGGGGCTGGTGGGGTGTTGTGTCCGCATGGCATGCTTAAGGGAAGGAATCGCTTCAACTGATTTCCTTTGCTTTTTATTAAGGCTTAAAGCTTGCCCTGGGGGGATGTTCTCAGGAAGGGAAGAAAAATGTGCCCAGAAGAAACAATCAGTCATAGGTTGGAAGGGTGAGGCCGTTCGTGAGCAAGCACAATTACTGACTTTGCAAGCAACAACATGGTTTTGCACAGTGCAGTGGAAAAGGGGGCCCTGCCAGACCCCTGGAGCCCCTAGATCCCAACTCCTGGGGAATTCCATTGGTTTGATGTTATGTACTTTAAATACTACAGAGCCAGGCCCCCATCAGTGTCAGTGAATGGAAGGAAGCAAAGCCAGGGGAATGGGGGGACATGCATGGATCTGGGTGCTGCAGTGTCCCAGCAAGGCAAAGCACTGGTCCCTGGTCATGGCTTCTGCCCTGGATTCAGCAGTAGTAGGCATTTTTCTCCTTAGTAGCTTCTGCAGTGCTGTGTTTTCGACTTTAGTCTGGGAACAGTGCTGATAACACCGATGGTTTTCATTCTTGCTCACAATCTCACTGCTGGGAATGGTGCTCTGCCTTCAACAGCAGCAGTCCCATCCAAGAGCGAAGGCTGAGGACATGGGAAGGTGAGAAGGAACAAGACCATGCCTGTCCCAAGTCAGCCTATGGCCTTGTTCAAATCTTGGGACCTGTCAATGGGATTCCTCTCATTGCAGCCTCCCTTCCACAATGCAATGTCTGACCATCCCTTGGTTAAGAAGTCCTGCAAGAAATCATGCTTATGGGAGGTGGTGCAGGGGGCAGCTACTGTGGGCAATCGGATAAATAAGCAGTAAGAGGATCCCTCTGCATCGCCACAGCAGGAAACCACTCATGTTCTTATTAAACACCATCACACGTGGTTACCGCTGGGTCCATAGAGTTGAGTATTACTTTCCAGGGATGAAGGCTTTGCCCACTGCACCCAGTTCATTCACTGGTGCATGGTTCATACTTCACCATTATGCAGCAGACTAATTATCAATGAATAGTCTGATGGGTTTTTTCAACACTGGGGCATGAGTCACTCCATTCTGGCAAGGGTTTTCATTCTGTGGCCTGGTGTTGAACTCTGTTCTGCTCCATTGGTTTTTGGTCACAACATGGTCTTTGAGCACGTCTTGGGGCACGCTTGCGCAGATTTGGGCAAAACACTTGTATAATAGTCTTGGTTTCTGTTGGCACACTGGTGTTTGAGGTGTCAGAACTGTTGGATGAGTGCTCCTGCTCTGCACCAGGAAGCTCACAGAATTGGGTTGAAGCGACCTTAAAGCTCATCCAGCTCCTGGCACAGGCAGGGACACCTTCCACTAGAGCAGCTTGCCCTGTGTCCAACCTAGCCTTGAACACTGCCAGGGATGGGGCAGCCACAGTTAACAGTTATTCACTTAAAAATCAGAGGAAACCTTTATTGTGTTATAAATTACCCTTTTCTAGTAGTAATAACCCTTCCTCTTGTCAGCATGCCCCCTTCTTGCTCTTTTTGGCCACTGTTCCTACACTCACCTCACACGGAAGCCTGGCTGCACCTGGGATTCCAGCAACACAGCTTCCAGTTTAACGACAGTAAACACGTTACAGTCCCCCCTCCCCTCACAACTGTATGTGGGGGGGGTGTTCACCCATTCAATGACCCCAGTGTCCCCCCTCACAGAGGACACGGCTCACTGTACGTGCAGGCAGCATCCAGCACCCTGTGGATGCCGCCGGTGACCGGGTTTGTCGCCGGTTCACGGCCCTGCAATAGACGAGGCCGAAGCCCCCCAGGGGCGTCCGCCATCTCCAGCGCAGCGCGCTTGCGCCGTAGGAGGGGGGAGGGGGAGGGATGGCCCCGCCCCCTCCGTATTGGGATTTTCCACGAGGCGAACGGCGGAACCGAGCGGGTCGCCGCGGCACGTAGCGCACGCACCCGAGCCCGCCTCTGGCGCGAGGAGGAGGTAGCCAATAGAAGAGCGCAGAAAGGCCGCGCTGGCCAATGGAATTGCGGCGAGGGGCTGAGCCGACCAATGGAGGGCTGGAGGGGGGGCGGGAGATGTGTGCGGGGTGGGTATAGCCTGGCGTCCGCGCAGCCGCTCGGTCCTAGTGTGAGGTGAGCCGCAGAGAGGTCGGTGCTGCTGTGGTGGGGCTGCTGGGCCGAAGGTGAGTGTGTGGGCCGGGGCAGGGCCTTGCGCCTCGTGGCTGTGCGGGCCTCAGCGGCCCAGTCCCTCCGCAGTTAACCGCGGGATGAGGGGTCCTGAGCGACCGCGGTTTCCCCTCGTCGGGCTCCGGAGCCGCTGCCGCCGCATTGAGATGAGGCCGCGCGGGCTTTGCCTGTGAACCCGGCCGGGCCTAGGCGGGCTGTGAGGGAGCTCGAGCAACTGCGTGTACTTCCAGCAACACCGCACTGCAGCCGCATCGCGTGGGGGAGGCCTACCCCGGCCTAAGCCCTGTCAGCGTGGGCAGAGGGGTTAAAACCTTCTCGGGTATATGGTGGGTCAGAGCTTCTCAAAAGCAGTGTTTAACTCTTATCTCTTAATCATTAACAGTTGCTTTTGGATTGTGTGTCGTGATTTGGACTTTCCCCTCTTTAGTTGCAGTGGATGTCCTTCAGCTTCACATCTCAAATATTTTAACGTTTGATGTCAGCACTCAGATGGATTCTCTATCCCTGGAAATGTTCAAAGCAGGTTGGATGGGGTTTGAAGCCACCTGGTCTAGTGGAAAAGTGTCCCTGCCCATGTGGCTGGAACTGGATGATATTTGAAAGGTCCTTTCCAGCCCAAAGCATTCTATGAAATCTGTGTGTCTTAGGCCTCCCAATGGCACTGATTAAGTGCTGGTTATCTCAGGGCAGCACTTGTAGAGAAGTAGCACATGGCCACTTAGTGTGCATCTCTGGATATTGCGGTGTGGAAAAAACCTC